ACAACTTACGTAATGCAACTTGTGGTATATAAGTGATGGAGTGGGGAATTTTTTTGGTATTTAAGTGAAGTTCAGCCTAAATCATAGGATTCTTCGATAGCGGTTACCTTACCATCTCATTCTAATGGAAATGATCGGAGGACTTTGTGGATGAGCTCCTCTTGGCTGTGCTCTTTTCGCAATGATTTCAACTTGTTCATAATATCCGTCAAACATGTGAACAACACTTGTACACTATCTGATATCTTCATCTTAAAATTCTCATACTTACAAGTATTGCGCGTTGGACCTCCTTGGCCTGTAAAGGACTGTCGTGTGTGATCTTCAAAGTATTCCAAATTTCTTGTGCAGCAAAACAAGAAGACACATGATTAAATTCTTCAGCAGCAAGAGAATAATATAATGCATTCATCGCTTTTGCGTTAAGAGAATTTGTAATTTCTTGTCAGAGGCAACCCACATACCTCTAGATTTAACTATGGTGTGGTTTTTCCTACAGTGTTAATGAGTTCGTTATAGCCTGATTCTACTATGTTCCAAATGTCAAAGTCAGGAGACAACAGAAATACACTCATACGAGTTTTTCAATATAAAAAGTTTGGACCATCAAAAAGTGAGGGATGGTTAATAATATGACCTTTAGTGAAAGTGGTTGTAATACCTAGACTAGCCATCTAAGTTGCATGGAAACGGGCACGGGTGCGGGTACGGGACACGACAAAACTGTAAAATGTAGGGTACGGGGACACGACTACATATATATATTGAATTAATATTGTACATAAGATAATTTTTTTCCCCTTCATGTGTCATTAGCGATCACATTTTTTAGTTTCTTTTATCATATTGATTATCGTGAATTGTAAACTACTTATTTTTTTACTAGACATCTAAACGACCCATTAACTATATAGTTTTAAACTTGGGTATGGACTGAAACGAATCCGACCCGTATCTCATTAGTTTCAAAAGACGGATGTGAAGTCTAAGCTCTACGTCCAGGAAGTCTTTGACAAGTGTTTTAAATTAACACATATATCGTATAATTTAGTACATGTTGTAATAAATGCATGCATATATTTAAGAAGTGTCCATGAAGTTTGGGTACGAGAAAGTGTCGGGTAGGTGTCCGGTACGGGTACAGCTTCATTATAGAAGTACCCGGGTAACATAGCTAGCCATCTATCCTTAAGTTATGAAGCCTAATATTGGGGATACAATGCTCTGATACCACGATTAAAGACTAAGATTCAACCCTAGAGGGGGGTGAATAAGATTGTCAACTATTTTTCAACAAACAGATTATGCGGCGGAAATAAAATAGTAATAGAAAAACAATGAGCAAACTAACAAAAACAGAAACAATCATAGCCAGAGCACGTGAGATTTTATAGTGGTTCGGATCAACAATCCTACATTCACTCTTTCTTCTCGCGACGGGGTTTATTATGATGAAAGTTCTTCTAAATTATAAATCGATCCAGTAGGCTTGCAAGATTGAAACCCTAGTTTACCACAAACTAGACGTCTAATCTAAACTATTCACCGTCAGTAACCTTAGCCCCCGCTAGTGACAAATCGTTCAATTCAACCCTGGCTTGATTATGCCACAAACCCTCAATATATCCCTATTTGAGTATGCTGTAAAAAGAAGTTTAAAAACAATCTAACATTTATCAATTAAAGCGCAATACAGAAAATATTCCAGACCCTTGATTATGCAAACTGTTCTATGAAAGATATAAGCAAAGTTCGATGAAGAATGTTGTTAATCTTAATGTCCAAGGATAGCACTCCTTGAAGGTTGATGATCAGATGATGTAGAATAATGTTGATGATTCAAATTGAGAAGCCCAAGCAAGATTGAATCACCAAAGTTGAAACCCTATATATATATATATATAATACGGGTTTTCCAACTTTGGTGATTAAACCCGCCCCCGATCCCTTTATTTGTCGAGATTTCTGCTTGGCTTCTCCATTTATATATATATACTTATTATATATATATATTATATATATATATATATATATAAATTGAGAGCCCAAGCAAGTTTAATCACCAAAGTTGGAACCCTTTACTTATATATAGCGGTTTTCAAATTTGGTGATTCCAATATATATATATATATATATATATATTATATATATATAGTATTATATAGTATATTATATATATATTGATTATGCAAACTGTTCTATGAAAGATTAAGCAAGTTCGATGAAGAAATGTTTATATTCAAGGATCAGGCACTCCTTGCAAGTGTTGTATTCAATGATTTGTCAGAATAATGTTGCATGAAAATGAGAGGCCAAGCAGATTGACATCACCAAAGTTTGCAAACCCTATAATACCTATATATATATATATATATATATATATATTATAAACAACTTTGGTGATTCCAATCTTGCTTGGCTTCCTCATTATATATATATATATACTATATAATATATAGCTATTACTACTATATATAATATATATTGATATATATAATATATAAATGATTAAGCCAAGCAAGATTTTAATCACCAAAGTTGGAAACCTATATATATATAGCGTTTCAACTTTGGTTATTCAAATATTATAATATAATCTATTTATATTATATATATATATATATTATATATATATATATATATATAATACTATTATATTTTGATCCACCAAAGTTGAAACCCTTATATAATAGGTTTCCAACTTTGGTGATTAAATCTTGCTTGCGGCTTCTGAATTTATATATATACTATATATATATATATTTTATATAATTTATATATATATTACTATATAGAGAGAGAGAGGAGAGAGAGGGAGGCGAGGCAATATGGGTATGCTTGGTACCAAGCACAAAAAGTTGTGCTTGGTAGTGATGTGTCACATCCCCCTCCACTCATTCAAATATGGGACCACATTCACATGGGTATTGAGTGGATGAGGATGTGACACATCACTACTAAGCACAAAATTTGTGCTTGGTACCAAGCATACCCATTTTTCAAATATATATATTGCTTGGTAGTGAGGTGTCATATTCTCATCCACTCATTAAAATCGGGACCCACATTCACATGGGTTGGGGAGTGGTTAGGAATTATTTCAATGAGTGGAGGGGAATATGTCACATCACTACCAAGAACAAAATTTGTGTTTGGTACCAAGAATACCCATTTTTCTCATATAAATATATATATATAATATATATATAATATATATATATATATATATATATTAATATTATATATAGTATATATATATATTTCAGAAAAATGGAGAAGAGCTGGCAGTCTTCTCCCCCGTGGAGCCCCCACAACGATGCGAGTAGTAACGGGGGCTCACATGTTATGAACTGTTAGTCACCGGGGAGAAAGAGCTGGCCAGCTCTTCTCCATTTTTCTGATATATATGTATATATATTTAATATCTATATATATGATATATATATATATATATATATATTATATCGTAATATATAGTATAGTATATATATATGAAATTAATGAGGTGAGCTGGCAGCTCACCTACCCCGCTGAGCTGCAAGTGTATGACATGTGAGCCCCTACTAATCACATTCGTGTGGGCTCACACTGTCATACACGTTGCCAGCTCACAAGGGAAGTGAGCTGCCAGCTCACCTCCATTAATCTATATTATTATATAATATATCTTTATATATATAATATATATTATATATATTATATTATATATAACTATAGTATATATATATATATACTTCCTCTCTTTTCTTCTGTAAATTAGGTTAGGAAATCTCTCATAAAATTGTGAAGAAAGAGCCTTTAAATAGCCTCAACTTTGAATCCAAATCGGATTAGGAATCTCATTTCAGTGGGTTGGCTCATTGATGAGCGAGCTCGATGAGTATAGCTCTAGGCTCATCGATGATCGAGACCTTGTAATTAATTTTGCTCTCTGTCGTTCTATGTTCTCATACTCATCAATGAGCTTGACCTCCTCGTCGATGGGCTTAGCTCTAGTACATCGACGAGCAGGTTATCTCATCAACTAGTAACATTCTGATTTTGACTTGTTTCTTGCTCTTTTAACTTTTTGAACTTGATTCTAACTTCGTCTAAGATGTATACAACTTCTCAAACACAGATTAGACTAATATGAAGGTTTATTATTCATTAAACTAAGTCAATTGTATGGACAAGTATGAACATGGTCCTGACGGTATTGACTTTTGCAGAAATTATATCAGTCCCTCGCTTGAGTAGTTATTCGAGGCTTAGATGCTACTCTTGTCATTTTTCTTCTGCCACTTATATCCTGCCTTGTGAGGATAGAGGTACTTAACTGGGTACTAGTCCTCTTTCAGCGGTACACTATATTTTATCCCACTTTCGAGTCTCATTAAACAAAATACTATTGATATGGTTGGTAACATTGATATCATTGTCAAGAAACTTCTGAACTAATCCCTTTTTGGCATGCAAATCTATGCCTGGCTCTAGTTTCATGTTCATAGCTAGGTTGGTCTAATATAATTTCCGACAAGAGAATGTTTATGACAGCTAACCAATTCAGCTATATTTTTCAGTGGTATACCTTAATTCAAGTTGCTCTCTTGTTCCGGATTATAACTCCTCCATTGTTAGCAGTTCTTGAACAATTCAAACGTTCGCATTCAAGGAAATGAATGCTTCAAGACTTCTGCATTAGCCATTCAGGTTTGGAATTAAGTAAGCTATCGGCATAGGTGACAATAATGTAGCCGGATATACTCCCTCTGCTTGAGTAAACCTAAACTAATTCCATGCTAGGATTGGGCCACTTCTTGTTAGTGTTTTTGTATTGAGTCATGTTATGTATGCTTCTTCAACGGGTCAATGCCTCAATGCTAGCTTCCAGTATTCAATTATATTTTACTTCTACAGTTCTACTGTATCACAATTACTAAGCATCTTAACTGTATATAGATTAAAGGTTCCCAAGTTTTGACTGTCATATTCTTGGATTGATGAAGTTTCATGTTTAGCTTCTGCAGCTGGATTGTGACTGAAAATTGTTCTGCATCCGAGATTGGTTTGCTTTTGCTCCAGTTCTTCTCAATACCAATCCATGCCTTGTAATCTGTTCATCTTTCGGTCACGGTGCTTCTAGAAGGAAAAAGTGGTATTTTTATGGGTGACTTGATTTTGATGCTGATGTGAGAAGAAGAAAGGAAAGAGAGCAGTAGACCATGGGAAGAAAGATTGATTCTTGTCCATTCTTTGTGTGGATTGGGATATGGCAGCAGCGTTACATGTGAACTCTAATTTGCGAGTTAGGTTGTATACAATTTGGGACTTATATTATATTTGGCATTTTTCTTCTCACGGACATTTGTATAAATTGACGATAGGCAAGTTTAAGCCAAGGCAGTACCATTTGAAAAAACTTTCCATTAGGTAAAGAGAGGTTCACACGTAATGCACAAGGATGCAGGTTCTCATTATGCGTGAGGATGCAGGTACTCATTTGGGCACCATTCCTACAGGAAGAGGACCGATTGATTAATTTCTCCCAGTACGCGACTGGTAGTTCAAGGGAGCATCTTAGGCCAAATGAGAAGACCAACCACTTGGGACCCAGGACTTGTGTTCATGTATCTGTGAATATGGTGTTCAAATTTTAGTATGAAAAATCAGAAAATAAAGTTTAAGAGAATACTAGAATCAGAAAGTTGTTGGGGTGTTAATGATGTAAGCTGGACGTTCTAGCTCTGGAACCAAAAAACAGATGCTCAAATCCGACATGCCCGAGATAGTTGCTCCTCGATCATTTAGGGTGTGTTTGACAAAACACCAAAAACAAGGGTGAGGACCAGTTTTGGCCTAGATTGAACGTAAACCGGTTTTATTTTGGACCAGGAGAGGGGTGGTCCAAAATAGAACTGATTTAGTGTCCAATTTTTTGCCTATAAAAGTAGGGCTATTTTTGGACGTGTTCTTTCCAAACAAGAAATCATTCAAAATTTGGTTAAGTTTAGTCTTGGCTTAGTTTTAAATGATTGCCAAGCACATCCTTAGCCTCAAAGATCTACCAAATGTAAATTTTAAGGCCTCAGTTTTTACATTAGGAAGAGTACTAATTTTAAAGGGTGGCACTAGGGGCACACTATCAACCACACCTCTAACCACACCCCCTCTCTCATTTGCTACAGTGCACCGGGCCTCACACCCCACATGAGATTTTAAAATCTCATGTGGGCCCGGTATACTGTAGCAAATGAGAGAGGAGGGTGTGGTTGAAGGTGTGGTTGGGGATGTGCCCCTATCATTTTTCTATTTTAAACTAGCTAGATCCAAACTTTAAGCCCTCATTTATTTTACTATCTGGTCTGTACTATTAAAAGAGGAACTAGTTAATCCCTAAAGAGGGGTAAATTCACCCTACCTTTACAATCCAGTTATTGTTTGTGTGGCTTATTTAAATATTAGTCCCTCAAGTCTTCAATAATCTCATATTGGTCCTTTGAATCTCAGTAATTGCTTATTAGCCCCTCACATCTTAAGAGGTCTTAAAATTTGGTCCCTTAATGACCAAAATACCCTTTAGTTATGATTTTTCTCTTAAAACTCATCTTGGTCAGAAATGGTTATTTACACTTTGGTATTTAAAGTTTATACCTTTTTAACTTTAACACCCAAAATATTCACTTTGATACTCTAAAGTTTAACACAATTTCAAACCTTGGTACTTTTAAAAAATTTTAAACACTTTTGTTATACAAAGTTTATACCTTTTTAACTTTGATATCCAAAAGTTTAATTTTTGATAGTTTGATGATACCCAAACTTTAGGGTATCAAAATTAAAAACTTTGAGGTGTCAATGTTAAAAAAAATATGGAGTATATCGAGTATGAAAGTTAAATAATGTGTAAAGTTTGGAGTATCAAACTATCAAAAAAAAGTTTGAGGTTTTAAAGAGGAAAAAAGGTGTAGGCTTTGGGTTGTCAAAGTATCAAAATTTTGGGTGTCAAATTTAAAAAGATTAAATATTAGAGTGTCAAATTGCAAATAATCCTTAGAAGAAACATCAGCTAAGGATATTCTGATTATTAAGGGACCAAATTGTAATAACTATAGAATTTGAGGGACTTAGATTTGAAGGACTACTGCCGAATTATTGAAGTTTTGAGGGTTTAATATCTAATTAACCCTATTTGTGTAGAGAGATTAAGATTTTCTGACAAAAAAGCCATTATCCTTTCAATTATCTCCAATTATTTAATTCTTTATTTTTGGTACCATTTTCTTCCATCGTCTATTATTTTCGTAGGTCTTTTTCAGCCAAAAAATTTCCGCCGCTTTTCCTTCCGCGGACTATTCTCTTGCTGCTTTTTCTTCCCCGAAGAATTCTCTCCGCCGTTTTTGTTAAGAAGGAATAAAGTGATGAATCCATCTAATCTAATCTAATAATAATAATATAATATTACTATAAAAAGAGGATTGGGTTGTTAAAACTTTTATTTTATTTTTTTGTGATCTTAAATTTTATAAATTTTAACTACATCATTATTTCTAATTATTCTTTTATTAAATAAATATAACCTCTTATTAATTACGTATCTCCTCACCTTCCTAAATAATTACCAATAAGATTATAACTATTAATTTTTTTAAATAATATAATAAAATAAGCATACACAGTTATTGGTAGTATCCAATTAAATTATTATAATAACTAGGAAAATTTGCTTTAAGGCCCCAAAACCAAAAAAATAATGTGCCACAGCCTCTCGTACTATTTGTAATGTGCTGCGGCCCCCAATTTTTGAAAAATTGTGCTCCAACCTCTCCAGGTCATAATTAGCACAATATTATATGTTTTTTTTACTCATAATCCCAACTTTACCCCTCCCCACTTCTTCTTCAATCCTCTTCCCTCTAATCCCAACCTCTCAAGCCCCCAAATGCTAGAAACCCAAAAACCCAAAGCCCCAGCAAACCCCCATTAGAACCCCAAACAAAACCTTCAAACTGAGCTCCCTCCTCCCCTCCAACCTGATGTATTTGTTTAGAAGCGAAGTAAGCATATGGCATAACTTTTTAATGAAGCATATAGCATGATTTTTTTTATGAATTTATGTTTACGTTTAATTGGTCTGTCTAACTCACAAAATAAGAATATGGATGCATCTAACATGTATTGTTAATATGAATGTATTTGCATATGCACAATTAGTTTGCTCATGCTTTTGAACCGTCACTTTGAGAATTTTTGCTGTATCTTTTTCAAATATGAACGCAAATATGAATATCCATGCATCCTTGGTTTATATATTTGTAGGCGTCAAAAATTACCTATAGGTTTTCGGACACAGCTCAAGACAAAGAGGAGTCGATGAACGTCATCATCTAAGCCAGAAAGAACTATCCGATGCCAAGAAGTATGCAAAACGACGAAACAACAGGGGCCGAAGCTGTCTCACAAACAAGTGAGACAGCATACACTGTCTCTATTTACGAGACAGTGTACATTGTCTCGGAAATAGTGAGGCAGTGTAACGTCCAACGTCCCCTTTGACGGTTTTCTTAGACTTTGTACGGCCCACGTGGCTTCATAACTGCTTGGGATCATCCATAAATATAGGGAGGTCGTTACAAACTGAAGAGACACTCAAAATCCTCGGAAATCACGATATTTAACAGATTGAACATCAGTTATAAAACTGCCTAGAATGACCCCTTCTTCCGAGACAGTAGACACTGTCTCGGAAATAGGAGTTGACAGATAATGTTTGTTTCGACTTCTTATTTTCAGAAACGATTTCCAGGGGCTATAAATACTTCCATACACCCTTGTGCAAGAGAATTGGCGTTTTGGTGAGCTTTGTCATCTAGAGAAAGAGAGGGTTCTTCACATCCTGAGAGCCTTCGGTATTTTCCTTGAGATCAAACCATGTTTTATTCTTGAGAAGAGTGTTTACCTCATCTTGTTGAGATATCCACTTTTGTCATTGTTTCTAAAACGAAACATCGACTCCAAGCCTTCTTCAGATCAATCTAGATCTGTGAATCGGTCGTCCACGGACTAACGCATCCTCAGTACAGACAAAGATCTTACGCAAGCAGCGACCGATAAACAGTCTCTGCGTGTGTTTCTAGGAAGTTTTGTGTGTATTTTTTTTGTGTAAAGAAGTCTTATAAAAAAGCTCACTTTTTGAATCTGTAATTAGATAAATGAGTTGTAATGGATTCCACAATGAAAAAGGTTTCCGACGCAAACAATGATGTACTTGGTATTGAAGCTAATGTGGTACGTGTTTAAGGTTAGAAGTTTTTTTTCCTTTTATTTGGGCATGTAAGTCCATCAAATTCTCCTTTTAGAAGGCTCTAGAAGATAAATTTTCCTAAATATGCATTAAAATTTAAATTCTCCTAAATATGTTGTACCTTTAAGAGAACAAAATTTTTAATGCTGGTACATTCTCTAAATTTGCATACCTCTTATACTATTAGCTCAAGCAATTATTTTGTTTAATTTATCAAGTATATCTTTATCGTCCTTTCATTTTTGGAAAATTGTGTCAATGTTCCAAAAGTAATATTTTCATGTGCTGCAGCCTTTCACTTTTTTTCAATATGGTTCAGCTCCAAGAAGTGTCACACCATGTGCTGCAGCCCTCTTTTAGCAATTATTACCCGTCAACTAAGCACAGAGAGAGCATAAAAAGTACAAAATCCCAAAATACTCTTATCTCTTCTATTCTTTCATGTTAGGTCTATTTAGAGTTCATGTTAGGTCTAATTTCATGTTAGGTCTATTTAGAGTTCATGTTATGTCTAATAATAGTTCATGTTAGGTCTAATTTCAGTTCATGTTAAGTCTAATAATAATTCATGTTAAGTCTAATTTCAGTTCATGTTATGTCTAATAATAGTTCATGTTAAGTCTAATTTCAGTTCATATTAGGTCTAATTTCAGTTCATGTTAGGTCTAATAGTAGTTCATGTTGGGTCTAATTTCAGTTCATGTTAGGTCTAAAATAGTTCATGTTAAGTCTAATTTCAATTCATGTTAGGTCTAATAATAGTTCATATTAGGTCTAATAATAGTTCATGTTAGGTGGAATAATAGTCCATATTAAGTCTAATTTCGGTTCATGTTATGTTTAATAATAGTTCATGTTAAGTCTAATAAAAATTCATATTAAGCCTAATAATAATTCATGTTAGGTCTAATTTCATATTAAGTCTAATGATTGTTTATGTTAGGTATAATAATAGTTCATGTTTAGTCTAATAATAGTGCATGTTAGGTCTAATTCCATGTTACGTCTAATTTCAGTTCATGTTAAGCTAATAACAGTTCATGTTACATCTAATTTCATGTTCAGTCCAACTTGATTCGTGTTAAGTCTAAATTCAGTTCATGTTAAGTCTAATAACAGTTCATGTTAAATTCCTTTTAAGTCTAATTTACTTCATGTTAAGTCTAATTTGAAATTAGACCTAACATGAACTATTATTAGACCTAACATGAACTATTATTACACTTAACATGAAATTAGACCTAACATGAACTAAAATTAGACTTAACATGAACTATTATTAGACATAACATGAACTGAAATTAGACTTAACATGAACTATTATTAGACATAACATGAACTAAAATTAGACATAACATGAACTGATATTAGACCTAACATGAACTCTAAATAGACCTAACATGAAATAATAGAGTAGATAAGGGCATTTTCGGATTTTGTACTTTTTATCTTCTCTTTGTGCTTAGTTGACGGGTAATAATTGCTAAAAGAGTGCTGCAGCACATAATATGATACTTCTTAGGGTTGAACCACATGGGGAAAAAGTGAAAGAGCAGCAGCACATGAAGATATTGTTTTTGAGGCCTTGACACAATTTTCCCTTCATTTTTTAATATTTCGCTTTTTAAATATATGTCATTCAAAAGTAGCATTTTGCTTAAATTGTTTAAAGTTATCACACTTTGTATCATTTTTATAAATAAGGTATAGATTTCTAGAAACCTGTGCAAAAGAAAATACCTAACATGATTGAAATGTCTAAATATTAAAAAAATCACTACCGCTCTGACCGGTTAAAACTTGATTTTTTATATTTCTTTTAATTTGTAAAAAAAAATCTATAATTTAAATGTATTACGATACTTTAGTATCAAAAAAAATCATGGAATGCCACCTTTCTTTAATACTCCGCCTGACTCCATTTGAGTCCAAAAAGGACAACAAATATGACTACGTGTAACAATCGTGCACCATACTAGGAGGAGGATAAAAGGTGTTAACATGAATGGCTCTCCTGGATAAATGTGTGTAGGTGTGCAAGACATGATGATGGATGGTGTATTATATTTCTTTTATGAGGGATGCTAGGGACACACCCTTAAACCACACTCCCAATCATATTCCTCTTTCTCTATAATGTTTTTTAGATTGGGTGCCACTATAGACACACCTCTAACCATACCTTGGGGCACACCCCCCCTCTCTCAGCTACAGTGCACGGAGCCCATTTTAGATTTAAAAAAAAAATCTAAAATAGGCCCCGTGCACTGTAGCTAAGAGAGGGGGTGTGCTCCAAGGTGTGGTTGGAGGTGTGTCTGTAGTGTTTTCTTTTTAGATTTTTTTAATGAAACATGTAGGTCCCAAGAAGCACTATAGAGAGAGAGGAATGTGGTTGGGAGTGTGGTTTAAGGGTGTGCCTCTAACATTTCTATTCTTTTATTAAGGATGCACTAAAGTCGTACAAGCTTAAATGCATGTCTATTCATTCACATGCGGCGCCAATTGGTCCAAGAGGGAACTAGTACAGGGGTGTTTGTTTCATATCTTATAATTTTAGGATAAGAATGTTACCGTGAGATTTGAAATTCATAGGTATTTTGTTATGGGTTAGGATTTCTAAAATGTTGTTTGTTTCATTAATATTTTGAGATTTGAAATACTATAATTTGTAATATTTTGTTTGTTTCAAGCTCAAATTGTAGCATTACCAAATGCTAAAATTTTATGATATGATAAATATGATATTTTGGTGAGGTTAAATCCTAAAAAAAAGAGAAAATTAGGATTTGTCATATCCTTTCCAATTGAGAGGTAAGCACACTCATTTATGGGATTTGTCAAAATCCTCTCCAATTGAGAGGATTTGACAAATTCTAAAGTTGTGCATTTTTTGCACTTTTGGGATTCAATATTCTAAAAAATTTCTTAAAACAAACACCATATTTGGAATCCCAAAATACAAAAAAACTCACTTTTTAAATCCAAAACTTGTAATACCAAATGTCAAAAATTTTGGTGAAACAAACACCCAGTGAATTTTAAAATGTTCTTCAATTTTGTGAACTTCTTGTTCCATTTTTTCAATTAAGAATGATATTGGGAGAACTTATACAACTTTTTATGTCTTTTACTTGGTGTCTGATTTTTTTTATATTCAACTACTATTTAATACCTTCTTGGAAGGATTTTATATTTAAAAAGATATTTTTAGCTTTAACAATTGTGTTATGTTAAATGACTGATGTTGTTTATCGAATCATAACAAGTAGAGGACGGTTTGTTGATTTCTTTAACAAAACAATGTCCAAATTTTGATTGTTTTTTGGTCAAATAGATGTATTAATACGACTTAAGTCTAAACAGTCATGATCTCCTTAAAATGTCTATACCATTTTAATTTAGATTCAGCGTTAGTCTATCCGAAAACAAGTACCGAATATTACTAAAATAGTCCAGTCTCTCATTATAAGTGCAGAATTTAGAATTCGCCAATTCCATGATAAAAAACAAGTATGGCCTAAGACCATCTCCAACCCATTGCACCAAAATAGTGCAAATTTTGCATTAAAATAGTGTAAAAATCATATCTAACAGTAATTCATCTCCAACCCACTACATCATTTTTTGCACCAAAAAAGAATATTCTCAATATATTCCTTTTTATCTATTTTTATATTATTATTTTTTATTCTCTATATTTTTAACTATTTCAACAATTAACCCTTTTTATATTATTATTTTCTATTCTCTATATTTTTAACTATTTCAACAATTAACCCCACATATCAAATTTTATTTTTTCCACATATTCCTTTTTATCTACTTTTAATTATAATGTCTAGATTTTACTGTTATAATTAATAATAATGACTTTTAAATTTTAACAGTATTTTTATAATTAAAAATTAATTTATTTTGTCCAAATTATACAATTGGAATAAAATTATAAAATTTAAATATTATTGGGGTTGTTTTATAAATTTAAATAAAACATGAACAGTAATAAAACGATGAACAGTGCGACTTCATATTTGGTGCTTAGTGCAACACTATTCAAATGCACCAAAATGACGCAGGAAATGGGATAGGGTTGGAGAAGGAACATTATCAAAAAAATACACTATTTGCACAATTTTGATGCTGGGTTGGAGATGCCCTAAGGTAAATGTCCTTTAAAAAGGGACCAGCTACCAGTAAATAATCACAATGTCAAAATTATCATCCGAGAAAATATCACACCAACGGAATTAAATTCAATTTCCCAGCAAGCATAATTTTCTGCAAGTAGAGTTATAATCAAAATATCAAAATTATCATTCGTGAAAATTTCACATTAAGGGAACTAAATTCAGTTTCTGCACTCAAAATCTTAAAAGGAAAGCAGTGAAATTACAATAAACTAAATCCCAACTATCTGGTTACAGCTCACCAAGAACAAAAACCAGTCAAAACCCTACATAATAAGAAATTTTAAAGCAAAAGACAGTGCGATCATGGCTCTGCAATTGTGACCTCCACCTCAACACCAGGCTCAATGGTAATCGAAGTGATCTGCTTCACCACTTCAGGCGAGCTAGTCAGATCAATTACCCTCTTGTGCACTCGAAGCTCAAATCGATCCCAAGTGTTGGTTCCTGATAACATTAAAAGAACAAATATTAATTTCACAGCGCATTTACCTTTTTTGGGTGTGTAAAATATTTAACAAGAAAACAGAATAGGAAGTTGGTAATGCTAATAGATTATCATTAACATTTCACACTACACATGACCATGACATAAGGTGGTTTCTAAGTTAACGAAGACAGCACAGGAGTAAATATAAAGCAAATTGCAGTGTTTATATGATACCCAGATTTGCGCATTCTACCTGACTAAAGACAAAGAAAAGAGACCAAGGTCTATCAAAAATGATGAAGATATATTGAAGGAAAATGGGTCATATTCTGTGGGGTGTAGTCAAGCTACTTAAACGCATCTGGCAAATGGGAAAGCAGCTAAATGCCCCAGACGCAGTTTGTACTATCCTGAAAATGCATCTTACATGGTCCAGGATGTTGAGCAAGTTGCAGTACATTAAGAAGGTTATGGCATCCAAACAATAGTGACCATATCCTGATAGCAACTCAATAGTGGATTCAAATGCTGAGAGAAGTGTTAGCAGCTTTTGTTTCTTCTCATTTGGGTAATCTTGCTGAAACAACATGATGTATAGTTTGTATTAGCTGCCAGTCTCTGACTTAGCCACTGTATTAGCTGCCAGTCTCTGACTTAGCCACTAGATTAGCCCAAGAAATGTCAGAATGGAAATCCCAGACAAGTCTAACATTCAAATTATTTAAAATTATTTAACACTTAAAATAGAAAATGGTACTAATTATATCCCTTACAAATTGCGGAAGCAGAAGTTTATTATTTTGCAAAATGATGTAACCCATGTCTGCTAAAATAAAATAAACACAAATAATATAATAGCTATACACGCTGTAATTATAGCCGAGACAAACTCAAAAAAATCTGAGTCTTTGAACTAGTTTAAACATCTAATATCATCCAGAATTTGATGCCAAGTTGATTTTTTTCTAAGTACAATCAGTTACTTCTACTTCGTTCTTTTATAACCCCAATATATCATTGATTTTTAGTAATATCAACAAAGATACACTCAGCTTTATCCACACTAGAATTTCTCATTTCAGAAGGGGGAAAAGTCTAATCATAGCAACTGAGCATCAGTTTTAAAAAGCTCGATTTTTGAGACTTCATAGGGAATCTCAGAAATAATCTTTTGAAATTATCATCATATGCTCAGTGTAAACTACTCAGTAATCTTCAAATATCCACACAAATATAATCAGAAGTAGTGCCAATAAAGCTTTAACCCATCATCATTTGTTAGTAATATCAAAAACATCAGTTTGTCAACAAAGACACATCAGCTTTATCCACTCTAGGGTGTTACACTTTAGAATATTTCACTTGCTTCAAAATCCGAGAAAAAAATTCTCATCATAGTAACTGAGCATCAGTTTTAAAAAGCTCGATTTTTTGAGACTTCATAGAGAATCTCAGAAATAATCCTGTGACATTTTCATCATATGCTCAGTATAAACTATTCATCAAACTTAAAATATCCACATATATAACACAAGAAGCATTGCCAATAAGTTGGCAACTGTAAATTTTTAGACCCATCATCATTTTTTAGTAATATCAAAAACAACAGTTTGTTGACAAATATGTGCGAGCTTTACCCACTCTAGGGTTTTCATTTTAGAATATTTCACTTACTTAAAAAAAGAGGGAAAAATCTCATATTAACTGAGCATCAGTTTTAAAAAGCTCGATTTTTTGAGACTTCATAGAGAATCTCAGAAATAATCCTGTAATATCATCATATGCTCAGTCAAAATTCATTAAACTTAAAATATCCACATATATAATCAGAAGCAGTGCCAATAGGTTTGCAACTTTAAAGCTTTAGACCCATTATCACTTGGTAATACTATCAAAAACATCAGTTTGCCACCAAAGACGCATCGGCTTTATCCACTCTAAAGTTTTACGCTTTAGAATATTTCACTTGATTAAAAACACGAGAAAAAATTATCATAATAGTAACTGAGCATCAGTTTTAAAAAGCTCGATTTTTTGAGACTTCATAGAGAATCTCAGAAATAATCCTGTAAAATTTTCATCATATGCTCAGTGTAAACTATTCATTAAACTTAAAATGTCTACATGTATGACACTAGAATAGTGCCAACAAGTTTGCAACTCTTTAACTTTTAGACCCACCAACATTTTTTAGTAATATCAAAAACATCAGTCTGTTACCAAAGACGTGTCGGCTTTACCCACTCTAGAGTTCTCATTTTAAAATATTTCACTTACTTAAAAATGAGAAAAAAAATTCGTATGAGTAACTGAGCATCAGTTTTAAAAAAGCTCATTTTTTGAGATTTCATAGAGAATCTCAGAAATAATATTTTGAAATTATCATCATAGCATAAAATGTCTACAACTATACATAAAACATGAGAAGAGTCAAGTTTGCAACTTAATTTTTCCGCTTTTGAACACCTATTTTCTCAAGATTGTAAAGGACAACGAAAGAAAACAAATTGAACAGCAGTTTTATAAAGCTTGATGATTTGGAATGCCAATAGAAAAATTCTATCAAATTTTTTCTACAAACACTGTTTGTAAGAGTTGAACTAGCCTCCACGTTCAAATTATTTCAGTCAATATTCCAAATAGTGTACGAGGTTTGCAGCTGAAAGATGAAGAGAAATAAAACAAATGGAAGATACCACTTCAGGATGCAGGAATTAGTCAACCAACCCGACCATCAAAAAATGAATTACCCTAGAAGTGACACCATCAGTTTCCAAATGATCAGTTTTTGAGACTTCATGGACCATATCAGGGTCAAGGAATTAGAAAAACGAGTTGGAGGGAAATTCACTTTCTGTTCACGGGTATAGTAGCCTACAAATAATCATGTGGTAATCCTGAGGAATTAAAAAAACGAGTTGGAGGGAAATTCACTTTCTGTTCACGGGTATAGTAGCCTACAAATAATCATGTGGTAATCCTGTGATGTGTTTTAAAAAGAATTCTGAACAGTGAGTTAAGTTCGTGTGATTTGGGGTGTTCTCTTTCGGGGAAAAACTTCATATGGTAAAAGTTAAGAAATAGGCAAAACTTTACGGTAAGTGCAAATAACCCTAACTGTTATATTAAAAAAACAAAATGAAAACTAATGTTCTTCCAGCCAATTATCCACTATCTGAGCAATGCATCCTAATTTCTAAAATGTAACTATAGATTAAGGAGGTTTAGAAAATGATGGGCTATATAACTGAGCAGCTAAACACCAAAATGCTAATTAACTTAGTAATATTGGCAGATAAAAAAGGACACTTATAGTTGACATCTAAAAAAATAGCATTAAAAGAGAGCACTATTAATTTATGCGATCTTGTAGATTTAACAATAATTTATGCAATCATGTAAATTTAACAAGGAGAAATCAAAGAAATTATTACCTTCACCACAAGGGGATTTCCTAGTAGTGATGTTGAGAACCTTAGTGGGCATCCTCACTGGCCCTTTCACTATCAAACTCTTGTCCTTCGCTCCTTTCACCAGATCAGCACAAACTACCAAAGATCATAAAAACCACATCAAATACCAAAATCAGAAGAAAAAAAAAAATAAAAAATAAGAACGAGAGATTGATCGGAGAAAAATCCGGTACCTTTCTCTAGATTCTTGACGTTCTTGGAGGAGAGAGTGATCCTGATGCGATGGAGCTGCTGGGGCTCCTCCAGCCCTGCCTTCATTGGTTTCGTCGCCGCGAACGCCATAATCTCCTTCAAGCTACGAATCGAAGATGGAAAAGATAGAAAGCTCGGTCTAATGAACCCTAACCCTAGAATCTACAAGGCTAAAGCTTGAGAAAGAGAGAGAGCGGGTTACCTGAGATTTCAAGAGTTGGGGGAGAGCGGCGGCGTTCGAGAGAGAACGCTAGGGTTTTATGTCGCTTTTATACAACACATAATGAGTTGAAGCTATTAATGGGTTAAATTCACAAAACACCCCCGAACTTTCTGGGGTTTGCACATGACCGTCTTGAACTTTGAGCTGACTCGCAAGCCCCCCTGAACTTTGAATTTTTCTCACTGGAAAAAAAGGATTTTTAAGTTAAATATCAATCGTTAATCCATGATGAACGATTTTGTTGCCCCCATTCAAAGTCACTGCTAGAAAAAAGAGATAACAAATGAATATTTTTGGACTTTTCTATCCTAATGTCATTTTAGTTATTTTAAATTATAAGTAGGTGTTTTGATGAGAAAGGCTCAAGATCGAGGGGGTTCTATGAGACAATCCATAGTTTAAGGGCGTTAAGTGACTGAGATAAACGAAGTTTATGAGAGTTATGTTTATGGCAAGAGCGTTTTGTGACTGAGATAAACAAAGTTTATGAGAGTTATGTATAAACCCCCAATTCCAAAGTTCACGAAGATTATGTGAAAATAACTTATAGATTGAAAACAAATCGAAAGAAGTAAATACTTTAGTGTTCGTATTATATTTGTTAAAAAAATAAATTCCAATGAGAATTTGAATGCCATTTTGATTTTCTTTTTTCTCGATTTTCAAATACAAATACTTTTCAAATATTCGTGGATATTTATTGAATACCACAGTACATTTATTTGATTAACATAAATTACAGTTTATGAATGCTAAACTATGTAAATTAAAAAATACTTGTATTCGGTTAAAGTATGCATGTAACAATACTAAACTATAGGGAATACAACTCTAAACAATATACTCGGTAAACAAATTAATCAAACATACATCTGATTAAACTTTATTCTTTAACAAATCACACACTAAAAAATATTTAATGTTAAATGAAGTACCAAAATGAATATGATTGAATAGTTAGATAAAAAATTAACGAACTATTTATTAATTATTTATCTAGTTCATTTCCACTCTTAAGTGTAATTACAGAAGTGACCAGGTCTGAGCCTGTGTATTTACACTACTAACCTCATATACACACAGGTAATTTTGAAATTACCGATTATTCTTACATGGATAGCCCAACTTCGTACCGATCAACCTGACATGGATAATGGTTTTCTTGCCAGACGTTAATATAATTAAGTTAGATAAAAAATTAACGAACTGTTTATTAATTATTTATCTAGTTCATTTCCACTCTTAAGTGTAATAACAGAAGTGACCAGGTCTGAGCCTGTGTATTTACACTACAAACCTCATGTACCCACACAGGTAATTTTTATGTTACCGGTTTTTCTTACATGGATAGCCCAACTTCGTACTGATCAACCTGACATGGATAATGGTTTTCTTGCCAAAAGTTAATAGAATTAAGATTAGAGATGTGAATAGGACTAAAAAAAATAAAGTTAAAAAGTCATTGTTAGAACAATGTACGTTGATTCTCCAAACCTAAAATGTAAATGCCAACAAGTAGACGCACTTAGTAATACAAATTTAGATTTAATTTGGTAGGGGTGCATCAGGCGACGCTCGAGCACTTAGTAATACAAATTTAGATTTGATTTGGTAGGGGCGCGCCAGGCCCGTGCAATAGTGCAACGCACGGGCGACGCTCGAGAGCCCCAGCAGCAAGCTGCTGTGATGGGCCCTCCCCCAACAAAAATTAATTTAATATCAAAGTGGGCCGATGGGCCACGTATCAGATATTAAACTGATAAGAACAGATACTACACTTGATCTTAGCCAAAAGGCCGAGAAAGGTATGCTTTCAAACGTTGTTTGACGGTTCAATTAATAGAGCAGCCTCCTCTCTTCACGTCTGTTTGCTATCGATGTGGGACTAAAAGCTTACTGTGCAAACAATGACAAAGCATCTTCACCAAACACTAGTAGGATGCACATCATATACGGGCAAATAACTAACACTTATAAGCAATATTAATAATAATAAACTCGTCGTTTTATTGCCCCATTATTTCTCCCAAGAGGAGAGAGTTGCTTTCGGTCTTTTAGTCATTTGCTTTCAATTTTTTCCCCTTGAATATATAATAAATGTTTGCGCTCTCAAATTTTTATGTAGGGAGGGAAATTTAAAGAGTTGTTCTATAGGGACCCCAGATCATGGGACCTAAGGGGGGACATATGAGGTGTCAACCTCTACGTGCATGATCTACCATTCATGAATAGTAGATCATGCACCCAGGGTTGACACCTCACCTGTCCCCCATTGGGTCCCAAGAAATTTTTCAAATTTAAATTGCCCAAATAACAAGAATATTCGAGAATGAGGTAGCGAAAGCGTAATCAAAAGAGATAACAACTCATTCTCGTCCGAGCATAACGGCACAAACCCTAAGAACATAAAACTTCTGAAATTAATAATAACTAAGCTAAAACCCTACATGAATTTCTTCCTTTTATATAGGGTATAAAACAATGAAAAAGTATCAAGGGGAGGTAATTAACTTTATATTGTTGTTGGCCACAACAAAAAATAGTCTGTCTCCGAATACCAAGTGATGTAGTGAAAGTACAATTAAAAGAGATAACTACTCGTTCTCATACGAGCAAAACGACGCAAACCGTAGAGACCCAAGGAATAGAAAATTTCTGAAATTAATAATAAGCAATCTAAAACCGTACATGAATCTGTTCCTCTTGTATAGGGTACAAAACAATAAAAAAATAACAAACTATCCTTTTCCTAAAGTTAAGAAAAATCCTTACATAAAAAATTTTCTACAAAAATTAGAAAGCTAAAAGTAATCCAGAATCTCACGCGTAGTTGAGCCTGAAGATGAATATCTTTGAACACGAATACTATCTAAAACTGTGGATTATATTTATGTATAAAGCACTTCATGAGCTTTCTAAAAAAAGATAATAATCGTGATTCTATGGAGGGAATTAAAAGTTATGGTCCGTCGAAGTTGCATCTTAGAATCTATCTGAAACCACTCTTTCGCTTCAATCATCCCGCTTTTGCATGATCGGATTGTTAGATATTTTGTTAACAAAAGGCAATTTTGCCTTCATGAATTATAATAAATATTGTAATTAAAACATGCAATTAAAATATGTGTAACGGATATATAATTATGGGGAACGTTACAAAATTTATGACGAACGTTACAGAATTAATTACGGGTTTTGTAACGTCTTTTCCAACCCTATATATATATCCGTATGTTGAGCTCAAAATGATAAGAAAAAATATATAACAAGTTTCTCTTGTTTTTCTTCTCTCCCCTACATATTATTTTCATCTACATCTTAGTTTTATTTTATGGGCAACTTCCTTCATCTGAGCTGAAGCTCTGCACTCTCGCCCGAGTGTAGAGGCCGGCCGTTTCCGGGGTTTTTACCGCTAGGGGGAGGGAGCCATCTGCGCCAGGGCGATAGGCGGGTTCTCAATCTTCTAGGGCAGTGAATACATGACTGCTCCCGATCAGGCCAGTTTTAATTGTTTATTTTTTCGGATTTATCTGCATGCTATAATCTTAATTATTTAATATATTTCCAACAATCTAGAAGATTGAGATGTTTATAGCTTTTGATTTAAATCCGGAAAAATAATTTTTAAAGTTACTGTTCATTTGAGATAGTACTGTTCATCCGAATTAAAAAAATTTTACTATTACTGTTCGCAATTTAATCAGAATTGTTGCTCATTATAAAATAATTTACTGTTCATTAAAAAAACAGATTTTAATTTTATTTAAAAAAAACATTACTGTTCATTTTTAACAGTTTTTAATGTTTTAAAAAAAAAGTTTACTGTTCATTCTTAAAAAATGACGTTACTGTTTAATTTTAAAAATGATGTTACTGTTCATTTATTTTGAAAACGGCACTGTTCATTTTATTTAAAAATTTACTGTTCATGTAAACAGTTTTGGTTATTTAAAAAAAATAATAATAATTAAAAAATTGTAGTTAAATATTTCTGTTAATTCAATTTAACAGTTAATTACATTTGTCTTATAGTTGGTTTATAATCAATAATTATTGTAAGTTACGAATATCAAAGAACCTTTATTGGTTTCTAAAAGCCTAGTTTATATTTGTTAGAATCATCTAAAGCCTACCCTTATTCCCTTGTGCTAGTGAATATGCTCTGTATTTGAACGTTGATGATCACCAATAAATAATTTGAGCTTTTAATACTTATTTATGTTTGAAAGTCTCATATGCATGGTTTTGACAAGAATAAAGAAAACAAAATAGATGCTTTGAAATATCTGGATTTGTTCATGGTTTAATACTTTTATTTCTTTAAGCTATCAATAATATGATGCCTTCTATTACTAATTCCATACTTTGGAGTGTTTATGCATCTAATAAGCTTAGTACAGAAGGTGGTAAAAGTGAATGCAAATTTGTTCAGCAACTTTCTTTTCACTTTAGGAGTTTTTGGTTTGGAATAAGAGGACCGGAATTATGTGAAAATTCATATGCATTTATTTAATTACGCTTCTTGCATCATATATTGCCTAATGATAAATGATCAATATATGAGCGAACAAATCAAAGAGGTGCATTGTTTTTTAAATTCTATTTTATATGGTGGATTATATTTCAAATCTTCAAATGTAAAGTTTATCACTTTTATTGCATTTTGATGAATATTGCAGTAAATGTTCATATGTCTTTTTAGATAACTTGCATTTGCATTTTGATGAATATTGCAGTAAATGTTCATATGTCTTTTTAGATAACTTGCATTTGCATTTTGATGAATATTGCAGTAAATGTTCATATGTCTTTTTAGATAACTTGCATTTGTTACATGATTAATTACAAGGTTTTATGCAAGAATGCACTTGTAAAATTTAAAGCACGTATGTACAAATATTATTATTATTATTATTTGTATAAGAGGTGGTACTAGAAAATGGCAACATAAATTTGGAAGGTCTCCTTTGTAGACAACCAATTTAAATTTGGAAGGTCTCATTTGTAGGCAACCGATTTAAATTTGGACGGTCTCCTTTGTAGGCAACCAATTTGTAACCTCTTATAAT